GTCTTTTTGGAATTCGCAAGGCAGGTCACCTTGCGAATTCAAAATTGTCCAATTTTGTCCAATCAGATGCCGTGAAATCACGAAAATCGCTTCGTAGATTCATCACGCCGTGTGGGATATATTATACTCCTGTGATGGCGGTTGATGCAAGGAGCATTGAGATAATTATGTAGGCTGCGTATGAGAGCAAGATCATGTGATGTGGTATTCAGGACTCGGTCAATTCTAACAGGTCTCGTTTGCCTACTAACCCAATGAAATTGGCCATCCCTCATTCCACCTTCTAGCCCGTGTCGGTGCCGTACACCTCCCTGCCGGTGTGATCACGTGGTTGCGCGGGCGGTGGCGAAAGACGTCTTGGTGGCACCCATCGCAAGTGCTGAAGTTGCTGCTTTAGCACTTTGCGTTTGCGATGGGTGCTACCAAGACCTCTTGCGCCACCGCGTTGGCCCACCAGAGCCACCACGACATTGCGACCCAACCGAGCGCACAACATAATGTTAGCTGTAAGGGGAGAACCACATTGGACATAGTCGGAGTGCACTCATCAGTGCACAATTCTTTGGAGCAGCATCACATAAAGCTCTACAAAATTCAAAGTTCAAAATTGTAACCTCTTCTGTCAGTGTTATAGCCAATCGTGTGTACTACGTAGTAAGAAGCAAGGTGTGATGGACTCTGATTGGATATTAAAAAGGAGCAAGGTGGCTCACCTTGCGAATTCCATTAACAAGTCAGAAAATTTTGTGAAAAATTGGTAGTTTATAGACGACGCGCACCATATTGCAAACAATTGACATTCTACGTGGACAGACAGTGCAACCATTTCCATGGTGTAGATTTCTTGATTTTCCAGTGCCTTGCTGCAGGCCTTCCTCGGCCTCCACAGGGGCAATCTTATGTCGGTCGTTTTACTTGATTAGGCTTGCTGAGACTTGCAGCGCACGGCACGACATAGGTTCATTTGCAAGTTAGTGCAGAAGTACTGTATAACGTTCGAAAATCATATCATACCCAACGTTTTCAAATGTCACCCAGATGAAGGGCGATTGTTATCGCTACATGGCAGAAATTCACGATGGGGTAACCAGCAGCACCAAGCTGGCGTTGGCGAGCTACGACAAGGCGTGGACCCTCGTAACGGCGGAGCTAGCCCCGACCCACCCCCTCCGGTTGAGTCTGGCGCTGAAATTCTGGGTGCTTAGGTCATTCTGAAGGCCCCTGACCGAGTCATTCAGTTGGCGAAGCAGGCGTTCGATGATGCTATGCGTGAATTGGACATACGCTTGGACATCGGCTACATCGACACAACAGTTATCATGCAACTGTTGCGCGACAATATCACGTTATGGTTGGCAGCCAAGCGTAGAAAACGAGTTTGCTTGAAGGATAAAATAACTACATATTGATTTGATACAAATTTGGGGAGGGGGTGCAATCGAATCGCGCCAACCAAACTGATCCACATTCGATCTGATTGGTTGAATTTAATTGAGGAGGTTTTGATTGGTTAATAATTTTGAGCTCATCTGAAGTAGCCAATCAAATCGATTGAAATTCCAACGAGAAACCACGCCACAACACGAAATTTCACTCGAAAGCACCAATACGTAGTGCATACTTGGATCGCACTGAGAGTGGTGCTATGCGAGTGCAAATCCTACCGTTTTTGGAATGAAGTACCGCGGGATTGTTCGAAGGGAACAAGTGTACGCATCCACACACCACTCATTTAACAAATGGAGTGAAAAAAATATATCTCAGGTCCCCACCGAACGCCCGAGCAGCGTCAACTCCCAAGCATCTGATATTGGTATTACGCTGTAAAGTTAAAATCACTCAGCGGGCACTTAATGGCCTCGGCCGTGTACTAGCTCCACTAGCAGCTAGCGGACTTAATACTCCCAAGCATCAATTGGCATCCATCCAAACCGGGGTGTGGCAGACGTGGTAACGTTACTGTATACAGTACCCTCCTGCGTTGTTGCGTCGGGTTTCTTCGTTGGTGGTTAACCTATTTGCTTATAAACCCAACTACCTGGCACAAACAGTATCACAGTGATGGACTGTATCATACTATAACCCACACACCCGACTTGCTGGACCGAAACCACCACTCTTACGAAAGTGCACATTGCAGTTTTACGTGGTAACTATAACATTGGAACTTCAACTAGGCACATGTCGACACAAACGGATGGGCTACCACCGACTCGATATCCAAGCGTTTGGACGGTTCCAAGTGCAGCATTTGCACGAGAAGGGTCAAGCAATGCGGCGGTACCAGGGCGTGCCACGTGGCGTTGGCTGCGATGACGTACTCGACACCATGGGTCGCCAGGTGTTGAAACTTGGCGTTGGATACGACAGCCTTCTCGGCCATGGGTTCGCCGGTTAACATGATAAACAAAAGCATCCCGAGCGCCCAAATATCCACATGGCCAGGGGAATACGGCTTTCCCATGTACACTTCTGGAGCTGCATAGCTCGACTTGCCGGCAGGATGCCGCGGGCGGGCGTCGAGTCCGATGGCGAGCCCAAAGTCGCCGAGTTTGCACTGGCCTTTGCCGTCCACAAACACGTTTTCAAAGGACAGGTCGCGGTGGGCGTAGCCACAGGCGTGCATAAAGTGCACGGCGGATGCGACTTGGCGAAAACATCGCTGCGTTTGGTCGATTGGAAATCGCTTTTGGACCAACAGCATGTCCATGAGATCGCCCTGGGGGCAGTACTCGAGCACAAAGTTGTGGCACCCGTTGGCGAGGAACTCGTCGCGGAGCCGGAGGATGTGCGGGTGCCCGCCGTGGCGGTGGTTCAAGTCGCGCAGGATCACGCGCTCCATCTCGATGTCCTCGTACACAGCCACCATGTGATGGAGCGACTTGGACACGGGCCGATGAAACTTGCAGTTGACAGCCTTCGCACGTTTGATCGCGACCGCGTCACCCGTGCTGTTGTCCACGCACAGCAAGATTTGGCCGTAGATTGCCTCGGAGAGAGGCCGGACTTCCGTGTACTTGTGCCACGAGCCTGGGCTTTCGAGAAACTCCCACAGCAGCGCATAGCAACACTCAATGTAGAACGCACATGTCATGATGGCAAGATACACGCGGTGACTCCATGGCGTCGTCCACATGCACGGAAGATAGATCGTTGTCGACGCGATAAGCAGGGAATGGGTTGAAGTGAAATCAATTCTGCTGAGCTGGTCCAACCCCTTTTTTCGAATATTTGTGGGACGTGGATTCGAAATTTGGATGCTTTTTGCGTTTTTTGGTCTATTGTTTGCATTTCTGTTGAAGTTGGTGAATATCGTAAAATCCAGCCAACCCAATTTGGGTATTTCCCAAGGAAAGGCCGCGCACACGTTGCCATCCGGGATTAACACACGGTAAATATATTTAGAATTCTCCCTACAATTCTTTATTTGAAGTCGAGTACCACTCTGGTCCAAAATAACTGTCATGTTAGACTTCAAAATGAAGTATTTTGTCCAAAACTTGCTCGTTTTCGTATCTGATTGGTGTAAATGCAAGCTGAAGATTCCCTCTTTGATTGGATACTTTACAGTTAAGCTGCGCAAAATTCACACTCTTGGCGAAGTTACGTATCGAATTTGAAAAAGGGCCTTCAAATTGGCAAAATATCCAATCACGCACCAGAGAATCAAATCTTAACTTTAAACCTCCCCATATCACCCACTTGTTCATCTAGTTGTTGTAATGCCCTTGAAGCACTACCAAGGCTCTCTCGCTTCTATGATGTTGTATTTATGATCAAACATGCTCAAAAGATACCATACGCCACACGTGACCGTAACACCTTCGGTAAGCGTCTGTCGACGACGAAATCGCACCTGAGGCTAAACGATGCCTATCTCTAGCCTTTTGAACAAGCTACGGCACTATATTCCGCGAATGACGGTGTGGGCATGCCTTTACCGGTACCTTCCGAGTTGCTTGTTGTGGTTGATATCACTTACTCCTTAATAGTTTCTGTGTAAATATGCTTGAATCATACTTCGTAAAGCATATACTAAAAATGTATACAAGTGGCTAAATGATTATATTAAGTATACAATTTACAAAACTGCACCTCGAAAATATGCAACATGACAGCTATTAGTAGTAAGTATTACACCATTTTTCGTTTGAGTTCAGGCTATTTCCGGTATATTTCGTCCGACGCACAACTGATTCACGCCTTGTGCGTTATGTTCGCCGATAATTCGATATATTTCGTCCAGACCCTACTTCGTTGCATTGTATTTCGACTAATGTCCAGTATATGTCCCACAACCGGTATATTTCACATGTTGTTCAATATACCCAACGCACATGACGTGAATCCGTAGTACGAAATATACCCGAAATAACCTGAACTTAAACGAAAAATGGTGTACTTACGTAGTAGTATACCTGTCGAATAATATTAATATTGGCATCAAGCATCAATCCGAATACTACTTACAACTATTAGTTACCTTAAACTTTCAGTGATACGACGATTGGGACATTCTGGGAAGTACCTCGGGCGATTGTGCATAAAAACGGTATAAGGGTGCAGATACCCTCGAGTGGGACATTGATCAATACTTAGGTTTAACGCACGAGTACATGTATTTCATTGGCATGCACAGTAGTACTAGTACAGTACAGTATTAATAGTACTATTAATACATATTAATATTAATCCCAGTAGTAGTAGTATTAATAATATGACCTCTTCCTTTTTCACGCGCTTGCTTCCATCATTTTGAGAACGGCGACAGGGTCAATACACAGTTCTGGAGCTTGAATGCGCGGATTTTAGGATGGCGCCAAAATCAAAACACATCCAAGTTACCGACGTCACCGTTAAGCTACACCCTATTGCGGCTCGACCAGTGCCAAGTTGTTGTCAAAAATTCCATCTTCCAGCGCCACCGTGGCCATGAGGACGACGTTATCTACGATCTCCAACTCGGCTACAATCGCCTCATAACACGTGGCAATCGTGTCAGCTATCGCTTTGGTCTGACACCAAATGTGAAGAATCGACTTGACGTAGCGCTGGGCTCGGCACACGCCCGTCTTGGCGACCACCAACCCGTGCAACTTCTTTCGCAGCAACACTTGCGCATCGGCGGTGGTAAACGGTTCGTTCTTGTGAAATTTCATGGCCCGCGTCACACTCACCGCAATGCGCTGGCCGTGCATGGTGCATATGTAATCCACCTTTTTCCAGTTCGAGCTCCAGTACTGGATCTGCATCTCCGTCACAACATCCACAGCACCAAACATTTGGTGCATGTACTCCATCGACAAGGCCTCGGACACGACGCTCTGCCCCCCCGCGTTGGGCTCTCGGAGAACCAGCGACGCATCTCGCCCCAGCGCGAACACTGCCGTTCGACGGTAACGCTCGAGGTGGTCCATCGCCATGGTCACCCTACATTGCTCGGCTTGGAGCATGGCGTCCACCGGCGGCGACCACAGCCGGATGCTGAACTGGTCTCGAAGCAGCACGCACACTGCGTTGTTCGAACTCTGGATGTAGGAGGTACGCTGGGGGCTGCAATTGGCATAACCCGATGGCGGTAATGCGGGTGCACGGTTCAAAATACGTCCATTCCTGACCAACCGAGAAGCCAGACGACGACGCGGATCGCCGTGAGGAACTCGACGGGACGGACGAAGATACAACTGAGTGGTGATTGTTGGTTCGATCGGACATGGTGGCGATGGTTGGACTGGGGAGAGGGTCGTAGTAGCGTTGATATAGTTCAGCGAGGGGAATTTGAAAATGCATTCGGTAATGAAAGGGTCGTAGTTCTGTGGTATTACAAGATATTGCTGGCTTATTCTAAACAAGAGTCACCACAAGAATGTGAAAAGATGAATAATACTAGCCATAGGAATTCACGAACGGGCATGAGTGATGGTGTCGATATCTGCAGCAACATGGCGGGAAAGGCGGGAAATGGTTGTACAGTACTACGTAGTATGTGGAGGTTGTCATGCGAACGATGCATGAGGTTCTTTACTGCACGTGTGCCAGCAATCTGGCAGTGTTATACTTTGGTGTAGTATGTCCAATGCATAGCTATCTGCTTACCAGTACACTGTACCAATCGTCCTGGACCCACAAAGCGCCAAGTGAGTGATGGTGGATTGAGTCGTTGGGTTGTCAGTTTCAGGGTTTAACCTCTGATCACTGTAAGTTTACTACGTAGTACTTTCCAAAAAATAAATAATACTTCGAAGTACTTCGAAGTAATAGAATGCATTTTTTTGTTTACATGTTACTCGGAGTAATTTGTTAATATTTGTAATATTTGTTTAAATGAGTGAATACAAACTTATAGCAACTGAAGGAAATCACGACTGCATAGTTTAACTGTAAGTTCGGGCTATCTCGACCAGCTGCAGCGTATAGCGGCTGAGATCCCCGGGATGATTACCACAGCTATTGACGAGCTATTACAGTAGTAAGGGTCAACGAGTGCTGCAAGCAGCGGCACATGAAAAATCTGTGTCTTACTTGGGTTGGTACAATAACTGTTTTCGTTCCTGAGCAGAGTTCCCTGGCTATTCTAATGGTTTCGTAGTTTTGATTGTGACTTTGGGTCGTTGCGAATGATGGGCAAGAGGAGTAACTCGGCCAAGAGTCCGATCCCATAAATCGCAGCAGTGATGAGGAAGCAGTAGCGGTAGCCATGATGTTCAATCAGGTAGCCACCAACCATGGCACTGCCAGAGTACGTGAACATGGTCAGTCCTTCCAGTGCATTCCATCGTCCCCGTAAATGCTGCGGCACGTAGTCCATGAGCAGCGAAGTTCGCAACGGCTCGGAACAGCGCATGAATCCACTTCTAGACGAGTCATCATGGGTGAGTCGTGAGAGTTTAAATATGTAGTACCTGGCTGGCTGCCAATATGATGAACAGTATCACATACATGTAATTGCAGTCAAAACGACAACACTTGACAAAAAAAGCCTACAGGCCCTACCGCATCAAGAACAGCGCGACTACCAACGACAACGGTGTCGCATACGTCATCAACGCCAAACATCCGGTGGCGAAAAAACGTGTGGCCACGATCGTTTCAATGTCTCCACACCACCTACATACAGCCGGTTGTTGTACATATGGAGCATACAGTGTCACAGGTTAGTACGTGGCACAACGCTGGCACACGAGCGACAACACCACGACCAGCAAGGGCTGGGCAACCCACAGCAAATTCACTTGCGATGGGGTCAAGTTGTAATCGTGCTGAAAGAATACGGGAAAGAAATTGATGGTCAACCCGGCACCGTTGCAAATGATAAAGTCCGACGTAAAGAGCAAGTACGGCACGTGGCGGGGGCCAAACCAGAGGAACGTATTGTGCTCCGATTCCATATTGGACGCCGAGGATGGTGCTTCTACAAGTCAGACACGAGTCAGTCCCCCATACGTCACAACCCTCGGTGTGGAGTAGTAGCGCGGTTCCAACCAAGGGCAACGAGCGGTTGCGTTTCTTTCGCGGCGACCACGGCTGTTTTGATGCTGTTCTCATACGCCAGGTCGTCGTTGAAGAAAAATAGCAAAAACAGCGGCGGAATGCCCAACGACATGCCCACCATGAGCACCAGTTGTAGTTCCCACAAGTTCCACGAATCGCCCTCGACTTGAAACAGGACAACGCAAATACATGGACCGACAATCGTGGCCACCGTCGTCAGCACACATTTGATCGTAATGGGATACGCTCGCTTGCCTTGGGGAATGGAGTCGGCGAAAAGCGCTTCGAGGGCGGGTACTTGAATGGCAAAGAAGAGCCCCCATAGCGCAAACACAACATACAACAGGGGCATGTGATTCTACATTGCATATACAGTGCATGAATGAAAACACAAACGATTCGTGGATGTACCATGTACAACGCGTACAACGTGAGGAAGGCGCAGCTGAGGCCAGTACCTGCGGACAACTTGAGAATAGTGTCGCGGCGGCAGTGGTCACTGGCGTAGCCGCCTGGCACTGCTGCCAACAACTGGACAATGCCTGGATGTATGGTTCAGTTATGACCACCAACACATTGTACCTTGAACGCCTTTGATATAACCCACTGGTTCATTCGACGACGTGAGCACAAATATGTAGCCCGACAAAATTTGCTCGAACACGATGCTAGTACGTAATTCAAAATGAGTGGTTGTGTGCACGCCCACACACGACCAAACCTTCGAGAGGACCAAAACGCAAACGTAAAGAGAAAGCTTAGCTTGACGTTGTGGTCGAGTTGTTGCAAATACCGCCGGACCATTTTGGCGCGCGTGGCTTTTGGTTTGTGACGGTGGGATCTTTGCTCGGAAAGGGCGCCATATCCGGACTTTATCCGGATGTTCCTGCCAGCCAAGTTATATTATTGGCTGCTTTTTGGAATGGGTAATATAATACCTTATATCAGTACCAACATGTAGTTTGTAGAAACAAACGAGGGGTGTGTGTATCTGGCTGGAATCCTAGGTACGAACGTACAGTTAGTACAACGTCTATCGATCCAAGCACACTATTGCAGGACTTGATTAATCCAATATTCCTTCGAAGCGTTGATTTTGGCAAGAGTTTCACGGTGTTCCGCTGAAGTGAGGTTGTAATCCATACAGGTGAATGTGATCACTTTTTTGCGGACACCGGACAATTTCAGTCGGACATACTTGGCATTTGTATTGGACTTAAGGGGAACATATTTTGTCCGAATGAAATTGTCCGAACGAATATGTTCGAACATACTTGTGTATTGTATACACCCGCATAAGAACGATCAGCTTTAACAGCCACAAAATTGCGCGCACCGCAGCATAGCGGAGGTCGTGTGTGTAATTTTGTGCAGGCGGTGCCTTGGCGAGGAGTAAGCCCCAATCGTGCACTTCACCGAATGTCCAATCGATTCCTCTTGTCGGGAAAAGCGGCAGGTAGGCCGCAGGCCGTGCTGCTACCCTGTGGTACAACGATTCGCATTTAATGCGTAAATTCGGTTAAGTGCGTGTCCGAAGCGCATATCCAGCAAATATTAGTCCTAGACAGAATGCTTAGCATGAATGATCTCACATATATACTGTTTAAGGTAGTTAGACTCTATGGGAGCAATTGATTTGTAAAGAGTTTTCAGTAACGTTCCGAGGTCGAGTCATCGTTCCCGACGTCATTGCCAGGTCCAGCTGTCATTGGTAAGCAAATCACATATCCACCATATACTAAGTACAGTACTGTACTTAGTATACGAGTACATATGCCCAGCAGAGTACCTTTGTGTCTCCTTGTTGTGAAATCTATTCCGAAAAATGTAAATGCCTGATGATCACTGTGGGGACAAAATGACAGAAGTGGGTGCAGCAATTCCAGCCGTTACATTGATTTAACTGGTTGTTTGTATGCTCTGACCTTGAATTCTGTGACATTTAAGGGTGTTTCCATTGCAATCCTCGTGGCATTTTCAAATTTGCGCGTCGACCACCACCAACCGCCGAAACCGCGCCTTGGACGAGAATGCTCAGCAAGTTATGGACGTACACGCGGGATGCTGAGCATAACGTGAAGCTCTCGTACTTGTTTACGATCACGTTTTGGTCCTGCCGCAGGTACGCTACACGATCGAAGTCTCGCGGTGCATAATACACTGTTCTAACGAGAAATCTGGTCGTCGTGTAGCATTATCTTCCAGCAAGTGCTGTCAGGGTACGTGTATGTGCTCACGCAGTCAAATGAGCCCGTGGGGATGGTCAAGGGAATCCAAGGCGTGGTGCAGATGATCTCTGCGGTTCCAGGGGGCTGGGCGTGCGACCATTTTCGTCGCGATACGATCTTGAAGATTTCGTCCGTGCTTGGTATTTTCTGCGCGCTCTTGTCGGTCGTGGCGTTCTACATGGTACGACGTACATGTCGTCAGGGGATTCATCGCAGACGTGTGTAGGGGCACTTGATGATGATCTACGTCGCGTTTGGGTTTTGGGGTGTGTTTAGCGCGTTGCAAGGACCGGCGTTGGAAGCTCTGTTTGCCGACTCGATCCCGAACGGCGAGCGATCCTTCCCAATCACGATCAAGCACATGCTCATGAACACCGCCATGGTCGCCGGCCCTGGTCTGTGCATCGTGTTCTTTCTCATCTACGGGGATTCATGGAGCCTGGGTACGTCCTCTCCTCCACCGTGGTCGACGACGTCCTTTCTTGTTCTCCGGTGCTAATGGCATTCTCGCAGAGGGGCTTCAGAACGTGCTAATTATCGGAACCGTCATCGGCGTGCCGCCCCTTGTCCTGCTATTCTTCTTCAACGACGACTTGGCGTACGAAAACTACACCAAGTCCTCACTCGAAAAGCCGCGCGCTTTGTCGTTTGTCGACGAGGACGGTGTCCTCGAGTTTGCCGTGGCCGACGACGATGTCGACGCCAACCCTCGTGCGAGCGAAGCATCCAAGTTGCTTGCGGGTTCCCCCGTCGCGGCGGCTTCTGGTACGCGTCTACTTGTCTTTCTCATGCATGGACCTCGCAACGTTGTGCTCTTTGTGTGGATGGAATCCATTGACTCCTTCTTCGTATCTCGTGTTGCCGACGACCAAAACCCATCATGCTCGTACACGATACTACTACTATGGGCGGTTGTTCATCTTGACTCTTGTACGAGATCTTGAAGGGCATATTTGCATCTCGTTTTTGAGATATTGTGAATTATTCGCTATAAACTTGCTTGGTTTGTCTAATCACGCTCGAGTTGTGATTGGTTGAATATACTTGTTCTTGTTTGAGTAAGAGCCAATCAAATGTTTTCCTGAATCTATTGGTATATATATTCCACTATCCCCCACGAATTTAGGTCTCACACTAATTTGAAGCTTCCGATTTCGTGCCATGTGATTGGCTACGACCTTTTTAGTTGTGTCGATGATTTTTCATTCTTCATGTCCTCTCTCAGTTTGTTTCGAGTGTAAGGGGCTGGTCGCGGAATATTTCTGTCCATGTTTCAAGATATTCCGAGCTTTTGATTGGTTAGTACCCAAATTATCCGGATAACACAATCGTTCACGCTTTCCGGAATAACTCAGACATGGATGCGAGTTTTGAGGCGTGGATGGTACATCGACGCCTGGAATAGTCCGTTCATGTCTGACACTCATTTTCATAAATATTGATCGACATTTTTTGGATTGCGAAAATATTTTGTCCGGATACGTCTCAGTTTCGGACATGGACTTTATCTTTCCCGACCAGCCCCTAAACCTAGCAAGCAAAACTCGTGTATTGGAATATTGGGATAATATCATTTCACTGATGGATGATGTTGTGCACATGTAGACTCCACGTCTCCAAGCAGCGCCGCCCCCACGACGACTCTTTTGGCCGACAATACATTTTTGTGCTTTGGGCCCCGCCACGTCCCGTACTTGCTCTTCCTCGCGGACTTTGTCATTTGCAACGGGGCGGGCATGACTGTGAGCTTCTTTCCAGTGTTTTTTCAAAACGACTACGGCCTCACGCCATCCCAAGTCAACATTTTGTACTTTGTGCAGCCCCTGCTCATCGTGGTGCTGTCGTACATCACCCAGCGCCTTTCCACGTATGATTATCTATCTATCTATATATAATATATATATTTGAACAATATAGGCGCACGGGCACGATTGAAACGGTGGTGGTGACGCGTATCTTTTCCACGTTGTGTCTTGGTGCGATGGCGTTTGTGACGCCCTTGTCGTTGGAAATCGGCCTCTTTTTACTGCGGTACGGTGTGCGAAACGTCTGCTACGTCCGGTATATGTGTAAAGTGGCTAATGGGTGTGTTTAGGAGCGGGTTCATGCGGTGTTCGGAACCGTTGCGAACGTCGCTGATGATGGACTATGTACCGCAGCACTTGCGCGGCCGGTGGAACTCGTTGGAAGGGCTGACCCAGTTCACGTACTCTGGCAGCGCCGTCGTGGGCGGGTATTTGATTGAACGCCACGGCTACCGCCTCTGCTTTTTCATCACGGCGGTGATTTACGTCGTGGGAGTCGCCATCGAGTGCTTATTGGTACCCATCATTCGAAACCACCACCGCAAACTCCAAGCCAAGTCGGCTGTGGTGAAATTGGTGGCCGCGTAGGATTGGTTGAACCGCCCCCCCCTCATCCACTTGAAACAAACATATTAAAAGGCATATAAACTACACCCTGTCATTCACACATGTTTCGATGTTTCGTCTTCATTCTGTCTTCTTGATAGGATGATCTAAGCAGACTTTAGCGCTGGCTGGCGACTTGACTGGTGGCATGATGGGTTCAATCCCTATTACTACTGTAGTATGCGCCAAAAGCATTCTATTAATATTAATAGTAACGTTAATGCTACTGTGAATAAATAGTATTATTAGGTTGTAATACTCTTTATTTTATCCTTAGTTCTCCCAAGTTACAGTCCGAAAAGAAATTATAGTCGCACCCTAAATTTTTCCAGTTTGAAAGGAGTACCGTACTATTTTGTGGATCACTATTTCTCAGTTCACTTGAAACTGTTACTAGTACAAAACTTGGCCCGCAAATGTCTCAATAATTCTCAAGAAATCTACAATTTTCAAAAAATTGACTGAAAAGAAATTATAGACGCACTTTTTGATTCGATCAAATATTGCCAATTTAAAGCCAATCACAGGTGGTCTCAATCATAATCAAATTGCTTACGTACACTGGTGTTTAGAGCATCTGCACTGGTGCCAGCAGTTCTCAGATCCCAATAATTTTATTGGGCGATTTACTGGAATTCCAAAAAAACCGTTCGCACCGGTACCAATAGCCAGTAAAAAAGTTACTGGACTCCACTACTCCAACAAATATTCCAGTAAATTTGTTGGAATTTTTGTTGGAGTACTGGACTCCAGTAAGTCAACTGACCAATCATAATCATCTGTGACTCGATCGATTGCGTGGCTTTGTTCCCCATTCCAAGTTCCTTCGCCACTGCGCCGATGCGGTCGCCAGGGAGCTTCCGCCTGCTCCGCTCCCGCTAGGGCTTCCCCCGTCATTCCAAGCTCCTTCGCGACTGCGCCGATGCGGTCGCCAAGGTGCTTCCGCCTGCTCCGCTCCCGCTGGGGCTTCCTTGGCCACATCCTCCGGTGTCC